ACCTTGCGCTTGCGAGGCAGGCGACAGAACCACTGAGCTAAATCCTCAGCCCCTACTTTCTTTTCTTAACATCTTTCAGATAGAGACTAGCATGCCATTAAAAGCAAGATAGTTAAACAAGGTGAGGAATGACTAATGCATTTTAGTTTATTTCAAGATAGAGCCAATATTTTGCTTTCATTTTTAGTTTGGGGTTTCTGAGAAGGGATAGATGGTTTGACCCACTTTGCAAATAATTGAGTCACAGACAAGGGATGATATGCCAGTTACAGATAGCAGTTATTTCAAGTAGGACTGATGTTGCTAAGTTGCATGGTAAGATTGGTCCAGAGGGTGGCCTTGAAACCTGCCCATTCCTGGGGTGAGGAGGTGATGGAGGAGAGCTTTTAGGCAAGCCCGCTTCACTTCCTTTTAGCTTCATCAGCAGTCCTGAGACTCTGCCACACCTAAAAGCATCTGGGTGGGTTGAAACAAAATTATACCTGTATACTACAGATAATGTGCCAAAGCACTTTTTAAATTTGGTACTGGGAATCGAACTCAGGACCTTGTCCTGGCCAGGCAGGTGTGGCACAACTGAGTTGCACCCCTGGCCCTTAAAGCACCTTGATTTTGTACAAATCTTTGCTGTTCAAGTATTTCTGAGGATCTATGCAGACATGCTTTAGATGTTTACAAGTATCTTATGATTTTGTTTATGTAAGTAATCACCTAGAGAAATAGTTGGTGATGGGAGGAGGATGGGGAAGGTTTGCTTTTTCTTACCCATAGGTACCCTGCCTGTTCCTACTGAATTTTGGAACATGGCTTCCTTATGAGCACATCATTATCTGGAGGTGATTGACCACAATCTTTGAGATTTCTTTTTATTAAATGGTCAGTTTTTACATACCACATTGCGTTTCCATAGAAGATTTGGCTTTCCACACTGTAGGAAGAAGATGTTTAGAACAGGTCTGTTAATGCTTGAGGTCATTGTTGCAGGGGACAGCTGTGCTTTCTGATTCATCCCCCATCTATCAGTCACACTAACAGGTGGTGTTCTGACTTCTGGTGGCACTGCTATGAGTTGGGCACACACGAGCATATGAGAGTTGTAGAAATGTAGGTTCCTACCAGATAGAAACGAGAGTCAAAAGAAAATTGCTGTCTGTTGATTTTGCATTCTCTTTGTGGTTGTCTCAGGAGACTGTTCATTTGAGCGTGTAAGAAACAGCTGTGCAATATAAACCCTAGTAGCCTGAAGACCATGTATGTTGAGGCAACCAGGCTAATTACTTATTTCAGCTGGAAAGTTGCTGAAGACTCTGGAAGACATAACATGAAGTAATAACATGTTGTCACTTCAGCTGTTGAAACTTTAGGTCATTTAGGGTGTTACTTTTCAGCCACCTTTTTGGCTTTAAAATGGATTAATCTAGTTCCTGTTTACTTGCTCATGCATCTAGCCCATCTTCTTGCCACACACTCCTTACTCTAGCTAGTTCCCCTTAATTGGTCCTGAGTTTTTCTGGGGAGAAAAGGGCCTCTGTACATGTCATTCCGTCTGTCTAAAATGCCCTGTATATTTCTAAGTATCACCTGAGATGAAACTTCTCCAGAAAGGCTTTCTTCAGTGTTAAAGCCTGGGTTTGGGGACCCTTTCATATGCTTCATAGTTACTTGATTATTCAATCCTTTAGAAACTGTGCAAGCATAGGGCCTGGGATCTAGCTCGGTGGTTCCCCCGCCTGCCTCAAAAGCACAAGGTCCTGAGTTCGATCCCTACTACAAAAAAAAAATTAAAGAAATTGTGCAAGCACTGTGCCATGGAGGGAGGACACAGCAGTGAACTTGACAGCAGTAGCTTTATCCTCAAGGGGTTATGTTCTTGTCAGGGAAACTACCACATACTCATACCTTAAGAATTTTTTAAACTTTAGGAATAATTATAACCTTATAGAAAGTCACAACAATAGAACAAAAGTAATATGCTGTACACTTTACCCAGGTGTGCCTATTGTTAACATTTTATTCATTTATGTTCTTACCCTTTCTTAATATATACATTTTTTTTCTGGACCACTTACATATGTTATAGCCCTTTTCTTTAAAATACTTCAGTATATATTTCCTAAAAGGGATATTCCCGCTCATGATAGTTAGCAACTTCATAAATTTACATTGAGGGCCAGGGATTTAGCTTAGTGGCACCTTGCCTGCCTGACAAGCACAAGGTCCTTAGTTTGATTCCTGGTACCGAAAAAAAAAATTTACATTGATACTTTTTTCCTGGTTTATCCTCCCTATATTACTTTTTGTTGTTGTTGTTGTTACCAGGTATTGAACTCGGGTCCTTGTGCTTTTGAGGCAGGCAGTGGAACCACTGAGCTAAATCCCTGGCCCTTTATTCTTTTTAAAAGTTGTGTAAAATACATATTCATAAAATTACCATCTTAGCCATTTTTCCCTCTACAGTTGAGTGGAATTTAATACATTCATAAAGTTATACAACCATCACCACCATCTATCTCTAAAACTCTTTGCTTTTCTAAAACTGAAACTCTCCCCATTAGTAAGTCTCCATTCTCTCTTCCATCTAGTACTGGCAGCCACCATTCTGTTTGCTGTCTGTCATTACTCTTAGGTACCTCATATAAGTGGAATCATATTTATCTTTTTATAACTATCTTATTTTACTTAATATTATATATTAAGAGTTCACTTGAGGCATGTGTCAAAATGTCCTTCCTTAAGGCTGAATCATATTCCACTGTATGTATGTACCACATTTTCCATATCTTTTCATCTGTCAGTGGACGTGTGGGTTGCTTCCATGGTTTAGCTTTGTGAAAAATGATACTGTGAATGTGGATATACAAATACCTGTTCAGGACCCTATTTTCAGCTCTTTTAAGTGCATACCCAGGAGAGAAATCACTGGGTCATGCACTATTTTAAATTCCTGCCAACATCACAGAAAGAATTTAATTACTTTATATCCTCTCTAATAATATTTTTTCTTTTTTTATTGGTTTAGTTGATGTTGAACATCTTATGTATTTATTGACCATTTTTGTGTCTTTGAAGAAATGTAGTTCAGGCTGGGCGTGAACTCACTATGTAGGCCAGGCTGCCTCAAACTTGCAGCAATCCTCGTGCCTTAGTCCACCAAGTGCTAAAATTATAGATGTGGACCACCACACCTGGCAGGATTGATTGATTGATTGATTTTGCAGTACTGGGGATCAAACTCAGGACCTTGCCAGGCAAGCGTGGTGCCACTGAGCTACACCCCCGGCCCCAAGACAGGATTTATTTTTATAATTTTCTTTTCAGATTATTTTGTGTTCGTATGTAAAACTGCAGCTGATTTTTGTGTACTGACTTTGTTTAAAAATACTTTTCTTGATATTCCATTTATAGTTTAATGTTAATTGATCTAGTGTCCAATATAGGATTCGTTTCCTCCTCTGGTACAGGATTTAGTCTAGCGTTAGATAATTATATTTAGATATAAAGTCTTTTCAGCCTCTCTTATCTAGAACATTTATATAGCCATTTTTGAGTTGTTGTGGGGTTTTTGGCCATTTCTTTTACTAAAATACTTTTAAAAACCAGAGAGCCCCCCCCCTTCTTAGAAAAAAGTATTTTTTATCAAATTTGAATGCTCATTTGTGTTTTATGTTTGATTGGATTCAAATTGTATCTTCTAAGCCATATTACTGCATAGTGAGGTATTTTGGGGGGAATACCACATCTGGAGGTTCACAATATCTTTGTATTCCTCATCAGTGATTTTAACTTTATTTTCCCCAAAGTATTGCCTTACTTCTCTACTGTTACTGCTATTTTTTTTTTCTTTTTCTGGTACTGGGCATCAAACTCAAGACCTTGCGCTTATGAGGCAAGCATGGCACCACTGAGCTAAAGCCCCGGCCATGTAATTTCTATTTTGTCTATGGTTGTTTTTCCTTCCTCTCTCCCTTGCAGCTAATTAATATATCAGGAGACACCTGAATTCTATATAAATATCCTGCTTCTCACCAAGATTTTCCATCTGGTCATGATTTTTGCCTGATTCAGTCGAATGCACTCATGTTTCAGTTTTTTGCAGTTCATTGTAATTTATTATTTAATTACTTTGGTATTCAAATTGTCCCAGATTTGGCCAGTGAGAAGCCTTGCAAGATGGCATCCTTGTCCTTGTGAGATGTCCTGTTATTTTTTCTTGCACAAGATGTTCCTGGATGATCGTGTACTCTCCTTGCGTTAGCCATTTTTCTAAGCAGTCCTCACTATCTTGCTTTAGGATTTAGCATATTCTTTGTTTATATCCTCCAGCAGTCTGGACTGTACCTCTTTGAGAGTACATAGATATCAGTCTTGTTCCCTTGTATCTCCACCTAGCATAAGGCCTGCCATATTAGATATTTACTAAATATTTGTTAAATGATTTTTGTTATAATTCAGGGTTTAAAATTGGGTTCCAAAATGATGCTGATGAATTGTTATTGTTTTTTTTCCCCTTCATTTAGGAAGAAATGTTGGCTTTTGGCAATAAGAAGGAGTAAAAACTGACCTCATAGTGGTGTACAAGCACTGTGGAACCTTACATTTTTGCTCCATGGGCAGCCAGCCTCCACTGGTAATGTCGAGAAGCCCTCTGCTCGACTGGAAAACACTGATCTGATCTTGGAAGTGGCTGATTGTGGCAGGATGTGTCGACGATGATGATGGCAAGAAAGCAAGATGTCCGCATTCCCACCTACAACATCAGTGTGGTGGGATTGTCTGGGACAGAGAAGGAGAAAGGCCAGTGTGGCATCGGGAAGTCTTGTCTTTGCAACCGCTTCGTGCGCCCCAGTGCTGATGAGTTTCACTTGGATCATACCTCTGTCCTCAGCACCAGTGACTTCGGGGGGCGAGTGGTCAATAATGACCACTTTCTCTACTGGGGAGAAGTTAGCCGCTCCCTGGAGGATTGTGTGGAATGTAAGATGCACATTGTGGAACAGACCGAATTTATTGATGATCAAACTTTCCAACCCCATCGAAGCACGGCCCTGCAGCCCTATATCAAGAGAGCTGCTGCAACTAAACTTGCATCAGCTGAAAAACTCATGTACTTTTGCACTGACCAGCTGGGACTGGAGCAGGACTTTGAGCAGAAACAAATGCCAGATGGAAAGCTGCTGATAGATGGTTTTCTTCTTGGTATTGATGTAAGCAGGGGCATGAATAGGAACTTTGATGACCAGCTCAAGTTTGTCTCCAATCTCTACAATCAGCTTGCAAAAACAAAAAAGCCCATAGTGGTGGTCCTGACTAAGTGTGATGAGGGCGTTGAGCGGTACATTAGAGATGCACATACTTTTGCCTTAAGCAAAAAGAACCTTCAGGTTGTAGAGACCTCAGCAAGATCCAATGTAAATGTGGACTTGGCTTTCAGCACCTTAGTGCAACTCATTGATAAAAGTCGGGGAAAGACTAAAATCATTCCTTACTTTGAGGCTCTCAAGCAGCAGAGTCAGCAGATAGCTACAGCAAAAGACAAGTATGAGTGGCTGGTGAGTCGCATTGTGAAAAACCACAATGAGAACTGGCTGAGTGTCAGCCGAAAGATGCAGGCCTCCCCAGAGTACCAGGACTATGTCTACCTGGAAGGGACTCAGAAAGCCAAGAAGTTGTTTCTACAGCACATCCACCGCCTCAAGCATGAACATATTGAGCGCAGGAGAAAGCTGTACCTGGCGGCCCTGCCATTAGCCTTCGAAGCTCTTATACCTAATCTAGATGAAATAGACCACCTAAGCTGCATAAAAGCCAAAAAACTCTTAGAGACTAAGCCAGAATTCTTGAAGTGGTTTGTTGTGCTTGAAGAAACACCATGGGATGCCACTAGCCACATTGACAACATGGAAAACGAACGGATTCCCTTTGACTTAATGGATACTGTCCCTGCAGAGCAGCTGTATGAGGCCCACTTAGAGAAGCTAAGGAATGAGAGGAAGAGAGCGGAGATGAGAAGGGCATTCAAAGAAAACCTGGAGACCTCGCCTTTCATAACTCCTGGAAAGCCCTGGGAAGAGGCCCGTAGTTTTATTATGAATGAAGATTTCTACCAGTGGCTGGAAGAATCTGTATACATGGATATTTATGGCAAGCACCAAAAGCAGATTATAGACAAAGCAAAGGAAGAGTTTCAGGAGTTACTTTTGGAATACTCAGAATTGTTTTATGAGTTAGAACTGGATGCTAAGCCCAGCAAAGAGAAGATGGGTGTCATTCAGGATGTTCTGGGAGAGGAGCAGCGATTTAAAGCATTACAAAAGCTCCAAGCAGAGCGCGATGCCCTCATTCTGAAGCACATTCATTTTGTTTACCACCCAACAAAGGAGACATGCCCCAGCTGCCCAGTTTGTGTGGATGCTAAGATTGAGCACTTGATTAGTTCTCGGTTTATCCGGCCATCTGACCGGAATCAGAAAAATTCACTCTCTGACCCCAACATTGATAGGATCAACTTGGTTATCTTAGGCAAAGATGGCCTTGCCAGAGAGCTAGCCAATGAGATTCGAGCTCTTTGTACAAATGATGACAAGTATGTGATAGATGGTAAAATGTATGAGCTTTCCCTGAGGCCAATAGAAGGGAATGTTAGGCTTCCTGTGAACTCTTTCCAGACACCAACCTTTCAACCCCATGGCTGCCTCTGCCTTTACAATTCAAAGGAATCACTCTCCTACGTAGTGGAAAGTATAGAGAAGAGCAGGGAATCCACATTGGGCAGGCGGGATAATCATTTAGTTCACCTTCCCCTGACATTAATTTTGGTTAACAAGAGAGGAGACACCAGCGGAGAGACCCTTCATAGCTTAATACAGCAAGGTCAGCAAATTGCCAGTAAACTTCAGTGTGTCTTTCTTGACCCTGCTTCTGCAGGCATTGGTTATGGACGCAACATTAATGAGAAGCACATCAGTCAGGTTTTGAAGGGACTTCTGGACTCTAAACGTAACTTAAATCTAGTCAGTTCCACTGCTAGTATCAAAGACTTGGCTGATGTCGATCTGCGAATTGTTATGTGTCTGATGTGTGGGGATCCCTTTAGTGCAGATGATATACTCTTTCCTGTTCTTCAGTCCCAAACCTGTAAATCTTCCCATTGTGGAAGCAGCAACTCTGTTTTACTTGAACTTCCAATCGGACTACATAAGAGACGGATTGAACTGTCTATTCTTTCATACCATTCCTCATTTAGTGTCAGAAAGAGCCGGTTGGTTCATGGGTACATTGTTTTTTATTCAGCCAAACGTAAGGCCTCCTTGGCTATGTTACGTGCCTTTCTCTGTGAAGTGCAGGATATTATCCCCATCCAGCTTGTAGCACTCACTGATGGCGCTATAGATGTCCTGGACAATGATGTAAGTCGGGAACAGCTAACAGAGGGGGAAGAGATTGCTCAAGAAATTGATGGAAGGTTCACAAGCATTCCCTGTAGCCAACCTCAGCATAAACTTGAGATCTTTCATCCATTTTTTAAAGATGTGGTGGAGAAAAAGAATATAATCGAGGCCACTCACATGTATGATAACGTTGCTGAGGCCTGTAGCACCACTGAGGAGGTGTTTAACTCCCCTCGGGCAGGGTCTCCACTTTGCAACTCCAACTTGCAGGATTCGGAAGAGGATATTGAGCCCCCGTCTTACAGCCTGTTTCGAGAAGACACATCACTGGCCTCTCTGTCCAAAGACCATTCCAAGCTCTCTATGGAACTGGAGGGAAATGATGGACTGTCATTCATCATGAGCAATTTTGAGAGTAAACTGAACAACAAAGTACCTCCGCCAGTCAAACCAAAGCCTCCTGTCCATTTTGACATTACGAAGGGAGATCTGTCTTACCTAGACCAAGGCCACAGGGATGGGCAGAGGAAGTCTGTGTCTTCTAGCCCCTGGCTGCCTCCGGATGGGTTTGACCCTTCTGACTATGCTGAACCAATGGACTCTGTGGTCAAGCCAAGGAATGAAGAGGAAAACATATACTCTGTACCCCACGACAGCACCCAAGGCAAGATCATCACCATTCGGAATATCAACAAAGCCCAGTCCAATGGCAGTGGCAATGGTTCCGACAGTGAAATGGACACCAGTTCTCTAGAGCGAGGCCGCAAGGTGTCCATGGTGAGCAAGCCAGTGCTGTACAGGACGAGATGTACCCGGCTGGGGCGGTTTGCTAGTTACCGAACCAGCTTCAGTGTGGGGAGTGATGATGAGCTGGGACCGATACGGAAGAAAGAGGAGGATCAGGCATCCCAAGGTTACAAAGGGGACAATGCTGTCATTCCATATGAAACAGACGAAGACCCGAGGAGAAGGAATATTCTTCGAAGTCTGAGGAGGAACACGAAGGTAAGATACCAAGTTAGGATGAATTAGAAAGTTTATACCAGTGATGGCAAACTTTATAGAGCTTTCAATGATACAAGTAGCCCACCGCAGCATGTGTGCCATAGGTTCACCACCACCTGTTTATACAGTGTCTCAGTGAGAGCTGATCGATGATAACGACTTTTCAAGAACAACTTAACTCTTGGGCCGGGGACTTAGCTCAGTGGTTTTGCCGCCTGCTGCACAAGCGCAAGGACCTGAGTTCGATCCCCGGTACCAAAAAATAAAATAAAATAAAATAAAATAAATAAAATAAAAGAACAACTTACTCTGATTCTGGTAAAAAAAAAAACAACAACACAAGGGCCAGGGATTTAGCTCAGTGGTTCCACTGCCTGCCTTGCAAGTACAAGGTCCCGAGTTTTATCCCCAGTACCAAAAAAAACCCCACAAAACAAAAAACCTGCTGTGTGTGTGTGTATATAGAGGGAGAGAAAGAGAATATTTATTCTTAGACCCAGCATTAAAAAGTTAGCAGTGTCTCAGCTGCTACTGGCAGCTCTCAAGTAGCTAGGACCTTGGGTAGATAGCCTGAGTTGTCTTTCTCTAAAACAACCATTAACCATCCAATTGAGCAAGTAGCACAGAACTTGTCAGTATCCTGACAAGTAGCCAAGCCAGCGACAGTCTGCTTGCTCTTTATTTAAACACCAGGATGCAAAATTGCATGCCCCACTCTCTTATTGCTAAACGTATGTATCATCCATATGTCTCTTCAATGCTCCTTCTTCCCTTTGCTGATCCGCAAAGGTGACTGTATTTTAGAGTAGTAAGAAATGGATGGTTATTTCCCCACCTAAACCAGTGATCCAGATGCATACATGAAAAAGAGTTGACAGTCTTCTAAACCTGTCTCATAGTTATAAAATTGGAGTGTCATCTAGTTCCACTGTTATATCCTTCAGTGAGTTGTTGCTTACAGCATTGAGAGCCTCAGATTTTCTTTAGGGATCACAAGTGGGCCAGGGAGGGAAAGAGAAGGGAAGAAGAAGTTAACAGTATGCATTATACATGTCAGGCCTACTCTGCCAGATGGAGGGGCAGCAGTCCCAAATTCAGAGGCAGGTGACTTCTCTTGGGTAGAATTGTAGTTTGTAGTTCTCAGGGCAGAGATCTATAGGTAAGTACCTTGTCTTCTTGGGCTTTGGCTTTGAGATAGAATTACTTCCCAGTCACCCCTCCCCCCACTTAGAGTAGGAGGAAATACTGTGTTTTTTTCAGAGAAAGACTGGAATAGAAATACAGTAACCCTTGACCAGCATTATAATATACAAAATGGTTTCCCTACCTTCCAAGTTTTTTTGTTCTCCCTTTCACAAAACAGCACAGAACAAAGTCACTTATTTAAAGGTATTACAGAGACCTTTGGAAAGAAAAGTTGCCAAAAACTTATGCTGTCTCAAGACATAACAGATCAGAAGATCCAGAGTCCTGGCTGCCTTGAGAGCTCACAGTTCTTTTGTGATGTTCAACATGGGAGGCCAGTCAGTGTCTCATGAGGAATTTTATCCACCTGTGCTTGGAGTACTCCTCCGTCACCACTGCCAGGAGCTTCCCGAGTTTCTTACCTGTGCAGTGTCAAGAAGAGAAGGGCAGTATCGTGTGTGTTCTGGTCCCTCCTGATGATTATTAATAAATATCAGTGCATTCTTCTCCTCTTTGATTTCCCCATGGTTTTTCCACTGGAGTTCTTTGTCTGCCTCTAGTATTTTCTCCAGAGGTTGGTGGGAGACAGACCCATCAAAAGCAGTCCTTATTTAGGAAGCAGAAGACAGCTTCCCAGTATGTCCCCAAAGCTCCCCTGTTTAGTGATACTGCAATCCAAACATTTTGTAGGTTTTGGCTTCTCTTCCTCCTCCGCTCCCCTCCTCACTTCTTCCTCCACTGATGCCAGAACAGCTTATCTGAATGCTGCCAGTCTTCTAATTTGTGGGGGTGTTTGCACACCTGGGAATTAGGGAAGTGTCATAATAGTGCACTGAATTACTGTGAAACATTTTTTTCTTGACTTCTGGTGACATTTTTGATACATGGTGAAAATAATGCTTTTTAAAACGCATTCCCAAGCAAGCCGAACTTTCATCAGCTCACTCGTGGTGGAGGCTTGGCGAGCATAGTGGGCTCTCAGAGCCTGGAAGTAGCTCTGCTCCTGCCAGTGCTCGGCTGCTTCCCTGAGGCCGGCTGCCGGCTCAGCAGCAGGTCTAGTTATGTGGGTCACACCCCTTAAATCAAAATGATTCCTCTGGCCCAGCAGTCCAGCAGCCAAGTGAGTAGAAGGTGAAATGGTCTTTTCCTGCCTTGGAGAATGGTGCTTTGGAATGAGTGTGGCTGCTTTGTTGTTCTGGAGCAGAGAAGGAAAGTCCTTGCCACCAGAGCAAACCTCCCATTTACATTGCTCCCTTTAATGCAGACTGGCACTTGTTTTATACTAGGAAAGCAGGGTTAGGATAGGATCAGGGCAGAGAATGCCAAGCCAGCCCCCCCTCCATGAGGGATTTGACCTTTGATTTTATTGGCATGACAAAGCAATACAACATTCATCTGAAGAGGACAAGCCCTGCACTCCGATTTCAGTTGGTCATTAAAAACAGCTCCTCCTGCATGTCAGACACCTCACAGGAAATGGCCAGCTCCTGTCTTGGCCTCACCTTGGCACCCAGCTGGGACAGCAAGACCTGCGCTGCTACTGAAAATGGGTCTTCTGCTGTACACACAGCAGAGAGCCCGTGCAGGGGAGGGGGTTCAGATAGGGCGGGGTGTGTTGATTAGCAGCTGCAGATCCCAACTTCCCTACTTCCTTGCTTGAACTTTGGGCATGAGTCACCTCTCCATGTTCTTTCGTACAAGGAGAACACCTTCCTCGGGTTGTGAGGAATGATTATGGAGAGTGGTACAGGTGGGGAAGCGCCACTATTGTTGTCATGTAGTAGATGTGGGAGAGGCACCAGCACTGGGTCAGGAAAGTCCGGGAGGTGGAATAGGCATGCTGTGAACTCAGATAAGGAGCAGCCACGTCTGGCCTAGCACTGTTCCCACCTTTTGTGTAAGTTTTAACTCTTGTGTTACTTAGCTGCTGTCTCAGTGCTTACCCTGGCAACCACTGTAACAAAACATAAAACCTATGGTCTGGGTAGCAATGTGATGGAAGAGAAAGAAAAATCACTCTCAGCACCCTTGGCTAATTTGCTAGATTAGTACTTCACTCTAAAACTGGAGTCAGAGTGAGGGGCGCGCTTTCATCCATCCTAATGAAAGTGCACACTGTAAAGCTGACTCTCCTGGGTCCTTTTCCCAGCGGAACCATTCAGCAACCCGCCCTCAGTGGGAGCCTTCCGCACTCAGCTGAATGAAATTGAAACTCTGTGATTGCACTTCAGCTGGGGCCGTGAATAGAGCTTTGTCTGAAGCGGTGGTGCTGCACATGGTCTCTGTCTCCCAATGCCATGTATTTGCAAAGATGAGGTCGGGATTGGTGGCTCTTATTTTATAGCCAAAAATGAGGCTGGGAAGCCTTTACTGCACAAATGTGCCTTTGGAGCTTGTTCAGATTGCTGAATTTGGTGTGATTGACCATGATTTAAAAAGAAGACATTATTGGCTATTTACTTTTCTAAAGGATGTGTTCTTGGGGGGGTATATATATTTGGTGTATAAAACTAAATGATAAAGAAAATCTTTTACTTCACTGTAGCTGCCAGATGACAAGACAACCTATTGAAAAGCTAACCAATTCAATCACGCATTGTTTGGTCTGTAAAGGCACCAAGTAACCAGTTTGACAGTTTGTATGCACCCCCCCACACCAGTGAATTGGCTTATTTCATGGGATTCAGTGAATTGGCTGGTTGTTGTGGCTTTGTGTGGACACAGCTCTCATTTTGTGAGGCCTAGAACAGAGTTAAAGTTTCTAGTGTGAATAAAAACCAGCTGGGGAATTGGACTGCTCACTCCTCTGGGAGGGATGTTGATTTTTGACAGACAAGCTAAACGCTATGAGATATGAGCTCTTTATAATCTACCAGGAAAGATTCACTGTGTTGCAGGAAAGGCTAGTGCTATTCAGTGAGCTTTAAAAACAAATAAATACCTTGGCCTTAAAAATGGACTGACTTGCCAGGTGCGTGGGACACTTCTGTAATCCTAGCTATTTGGGAAGATGAGGCAGGAAGATTGCAAGTTCAAGGCCAGCCTGGGCAAATTAGCAAGACTTTCCCTCAAAATAAAATTAGAAAAAAAGCTGGGGTGCAGCTCAGTGTAGAGCAGCACTTGCCTAGCATATGTGAAGCCTTGGGTTTAATCCAGTATTTTTTTTTAAAAAAGCGGGGGCTGGGGATTTAGCTCAGTGGTTCTGCCACCTGCCCTGCAAGCACAAGGACCCAAGTTTGATCCGCGGTACCAAAAAAAAAGCAGGCCGGGTATTTAGCTCAGTGGTTCCACTGCCTGCCTCCCAAGCACAAGGACCCAAGTTCGATCCCCGGTACCAAAAAAAACACCGACTTTACCTTTCTGATTCCTGAAATAGTTTTATCTTCCAAAGGAAGTACTTTGGCTGCAGCACACAAGCTCATTCATTCTCTTTGGAAGGAAACATTGAACTCAGTTCATGAGTGCCCAACAAGCACTTGTTCATGCCTGATGTCATAGGTGCCACAGGTGTGGGCACTGTGTTCATCCAGTTTATAGGGGTGATAATGTGTTGAGGATATGTGCATGTGTTTCTCATTACCAGAGAGGAGGTAAGGTACTGAGGAATTGTTTAACAAGGAGGCTTAGCCTAAACAAGGCACCTAGGAAAGCTTCCCAAGGAAACCATATCTAAAGCTAAGATTTTGAAGGGGAAGACAGGCAAATCAGGAAGATGGAGGCTTCATGGAGAGAGTTCTCCAGGAAAAAGTATGGCCCTCAGCTGAGAATCTGTTGAAATTGTTGCAGGAAGCCTAGCCTGGCTCTGCAGAGACATG